CAACAGGCAATGCAGTTGAGAGCCTTGGTCGGCCAACTTGGCTGGTTGGCCAAGCAGGGATGACCAGATCTATTTTCCCATCTCGTATTTGCAACAGAGTCTTGTGGATGCCACTAGAAGCACATTGCGTCTGGCCAATGCGACCATAGTCAAAGCCAAGCAAGAACATTTCATGTATGTCAAGGGCCTTGAATGTTCGATCGATGAGATCATGGTGCTTGTGGCAACCGACGGGGCCCTAGCTGCGATGCCTCGGGGCAAATCTCAGCTTGGATTGTTTTTGGTGCTAGCTAATCCGCTGGTGCAATCACAAGTGAGTCGAGTAGCACCAATTGAATGGTGTAGCACTTCTTGCAAGAGAGTGGTTCGAAGTTCGGCGGCAATTGAAGCAGCTGCAGCATCCCTCGGGTATGAGCACGCTGAGTTCTTGAGGGCAGTGCTGTGTGAAGTGAGGGATCCTAGCTTCGTGATGCGTAGATGGTTTGATCATATCTGTCAATGCCCCATCCTTTTAATTTTGGATGCCAAAGTGGCATACGACTGCCTGACAAGCGAAGAATTGCCTCAGGATAGACGGACAGCTCTTGACATTCGAGCCCACCGTGAATCCCTTGTTGATCCATCCACCGCCTCATTTTGCAGGTGGATTCCAGGACAGCAGCAGGCGTCGGACTCTCTTACGAAGTTTAAGGGCAACAACGTGCTGTTGGCTATCTTGGCCACTGCTCGATGAACCATCCTCGAAGACGAATCCTGGCAACAAGTTCGTGCCCAGCAGCGCTTGACCCAGAAGGCGTATAAGAGTCGCCTGAAGGTAGAAAGGGGGGCGGCGGGTGAGTCAAATGAATCTTGACCCCCGCCACGTGTTCATTTATACATGAATGATCGTCCGGAGCCCATTGTGGCCTAACCTTCCTAGGTGCGAAAAGGTCGTCCACTCTGTGGTCGTCCACTTTGTGCTTGCATTTCTGGTCACGCGGTTCCCCTACCACTTTAAATAATACTTCGATTTATTATTTAATCAACATATAATTAAATTGGTATAATATTATTTAGAAATTATAATATTATTATACATATAAATAATATCCGACACAAATGATTACAATAGAATAAATTAAATTAACAATATTTTATAACTCAATTATTAACTTATAATTTTTTTAAATAATTAATATAAATATAACCCAACGAAAAACAAACCAATATTAAAATAACTATATGGGGATTATCCATCAAAATTTTTCTTTTTGAGCTTATATCGCCGACCTTTCGCATTTACAGAAAAATCATAAGTGTTCTTTTCGCGCATTATAATAAATTTGTTCCATTGCACTAAATTCCTAGTGTTTAGGATATTTAAATAAAGATTTCAAAGCTATGGATAGGCAAATGTCCTTCTAAACAATGCACCCTTGCGCGAGCCTACCGCCAGCCTTTCGTATCTGTTCGAATATTATTATATATTATAATATCTTTCAGATTATATATTATAAATCTAAATGAATATATATCTTTCGCCGTCCTGTTGCCGACCTTTCGCAAATTACAATTTCCCTTTCGCGACATGTATATTTTAAAATTTCATCTAAATTCCTTCATTAACTTGAGAGGAAGGAGACACGAAAGGTAAAACAGCGGGAAGAGAAAAGAACGCGAGAGGCAAGAATAAAAATGCAATGTTCGATATAATAATTTATCCCCTCGGAGGCGACCTTTCGTAAATATATGTTCATTTGCACTTTAAATGTTCAAATATGTGCTCTCGAAATGTTCATAAAGATTCTTAGGAAAACAAACTGGCCGCAAATGCCTCAAATCATCGATAAACATTAAATCGGAACATTATAAGATTTAAATTATCCTGAAACCGTAAGACGCTCACGAAGACGCTCCCCAAGAAAGAATTAACGTGCTCCTAAAACAAATTCTAAATATATATTCCCTCGGAAAACACCTTTCGTAATTAGAATTTCATAATCATTCTTTCTAAATATTCAAGAGGATTTCAACTATCCTAAAGTCATGAAAGGCTCACGAAAACGTTTTCCAAGAAAGAATTAATTTTAGAGGGGGGGAAGGGGGGGGGGGCATATATAAAAAAAAAATTCAAAAAAAGGGGGGGGGGGAAGAGATCTGGATTAAAAAATCAATTCGAGGGGGGGGGAATAGGGAGGGGGTTTCAATTAAACGACTTAAGAGGAAAGAGACACGAAAGATAAAACAGCGGGAAGAGAAAAGAACGCGAGAGGCAGCAACAAAAAAGCAATATTCGACATGGTAATTTATCCCCTCGGAGGCGACCTTTCGTAAATATATGTTCATATGCACTTTAAATGTTCAAACATGTGCTCTCGAAATGTTCAAAAAAATTCTTAAGAAAATAAATTTGCCCCATGGCTCAGATCATCGGTGAGCATTAAATCGGAACATCATAAGATTTAAACTATCCTAAAACCATAAGAGGCCCACGCAAACGCTCCCCAAGAGAGAATTAACGTGCTTCACAAAACAAACTCTAGGTATGTATCCCCTCGGGGAACACCTTTCGTAATTAGAATTTCATATTCATTCTTTCTAAATGTCCAAGAGGGTTTCAACAATCCTGAAATCATGAGAGGCTCACGAAGACGTTCTCCAGGAGAGAATTGATTTTAGAGGGGAGGAAAGGGGAGGGGAAGGGTCTATATTGAAAAATCAATTCCAGGGGGGGAGGGGTTCTAAATCAAGCGATCAATTATTAGACCCGGACGTCCCAACACTTGCTTCGCAATACAAACTCAAGCTATACCCTAAAGGACTACCTTTCGTAATCAATTAGTAGACCCGGACGTCCTAACACTTTCTTCGTAAAACAAACTCAAAATATCCCCTAAAGGGCTACCTTTCGTTATAATAACGAATGATCCTCATATATATTCATTAAATATAATTATCCTAACAATATTTTATTAAAATACATAAAAATCAAATTCACATTAATTTTCATATAATATAAAAAACGAAAAATATAATTCAAACAAAAATACAAATCTTATCATATACAAAATATTTTAAAATACAATATATATTATATATTTCTATATTATTTTTCATAGTAATTCTAAATTAAATATGTAAATTATTATAGATATATTAATATTATTTAATATATTATTGTTTAATTGGATATAATATCGAATTTATATATTCAAGTAAATATATTTTTTGCATATTAATGTTTTAAAAATATTATTTCTTAAAAAATATTCTTTTCCAACAAATACATAATTACAAATTGTTGTCAACAATCAATTTTCTGTTCAATTCCAATTGTCTGCTAGATTGCAATAGTAAACCGAATTTATTGCTACACAATAAAGAAACTTCTTTCTCAACTATATTGAAGAACCAACAATTTTCTGGTGTACTCTTTCCAGAAAATCCTTGGAAAATTATCTAAAGGCTCGTCATTTCCCTTTCCGCGTCTTTCACTTGCCTTTTGAGTCTGTCCAATCACAAGGTCCGAGGTTTGTTATTGCGGAGAAATCATCTTTGGTCAACGAGGATCTATTGGGAGGGTGTTCATTGTGATAGTCTCAGTGTGTATGGATTCGTTTAGGTCTGCGCAAAAAATGCTCCAGAGTGACTCCGGTTTCGGGGTTGTGTTATCTACTACTCTACTCAATTGATAGAATAGGAGCAAAACAATTTGCATGAAAACAGAACACATGTCTGGGAAAGTTGTTCGATCTTTGTGTGACCAAGCAACCCCCAAACAGGAGAACGTCACTACTACTGAATTCAAAATTGTATATGAAGGATACTTCGTATGAGCAGCAGCCATGTGTAAAGCAACGTTGCGCACATTGAAGTAAATTCTGCAACTGGCAGCTGCAAGTTTGCATGTCTCCTTCCGAATCCCGCACGCATGCTAGCAAGTGTTCTTCATCCTTCTCGCCCGTGCAAAGACCCATGATCTTTACTACATGCTCCTTGAGAGCAAGTCAGGAACAAACGGATGTGTTCGGCCTAAACCTGTCAAAACCCTGGCTTTCATGACTCCTGAAAACAATGTTTAAAGCATGGTCCCTACTGCGCATCTCCCATTGAATTCTCAAAGTAGTAGCTGAGATGCACCAGGCTTTGACTGTGTGAGATCCTTGTCTCTGGATTGAAAACCGTAGAAAAAACATCAGTTGCGAGCCTCGCAAGACAGCTCACAGCCTTCTTTTGGGCTTTGACTTTGGGTCATCCCGAAGTTGGGGCTCGTCGCCGCTTCGGCGCCCAAAGAGGCCTGCCTTTCGGGAATCCCAACTTCAAAGCCGTCCAATACTTGCACTGGCTGCATGTACTGGGTGTATGTAGCTCGTCTTCCGTCGTCTTCCACAAAAGAAAACATGGGGTCATGTCGCTTCATGGGGTCATGGAGCTTCTAGTCTTCCCGCTCCATTCCTTCGTTTCCGGGTGGGCCGTGTCAGCTTGGCATATCACACCGAGAAGAAACCCACGCAATGAATGTTTAGACTGGTAAGACCCCAAAAAACCGCAAAACATCTTGATCATAGGGGTTGGCCAATTGATCAAGAGGCTAAATTGCAAAGTACACTGTACACAATCAGGTTCTTCATGGATCACCCTTGGCGCCGCGACGAGCAACGAGCCCCATTGAGGATCAGCGATGACCAGCACCCTGGTGCGATCTGCCAGTGGCCACAAGTCGTGGTGCGGTTTTTCTTTGCTGACAGTGCAGCGACCAAACCGAACCAAAAAAAATCAGCTGCAGTGGTCTTCATGTAGATGATCCTGCGATGTCTTTTCTTGCGTAGGTGTTAGCTATAAGTGTGTCAGATTCAATAACATCCGATCGTCTGACCTGGTCTTCTGAAGCTGACTTATCATCAATGCAAGGACTCCAGCTGTCTCCGAAGGGGAGACTTCTGGGCAAGTTGCGTGGAGAGAAGGCTTCGCCAGGGGTCGGAGGGCTCTGTTCAGCACGAGGTCAAAAAAGAACCTCTGACTCAAAGGCTTTCCTCACAAAAAACTTCAGACACGTCATCTTTGGCGATCTCGGAAGGATTTCCATCTTCAACTTGGATTTCCGTCTGCCTGGGAGCATGAGGGACCTGGATTGGTCAAGACTTGTCAAGACCAAGGACCATCCTCTGGTTGGAAAATTTTGGAGAATGTTCAACACAACTCGATGAGGTGAGGAACGATTTGACCGGGCCTTTGCTGAAAGACATGCAAGAACCAAAGAAGAGATGGTTTCAAACATGTTCAACTCCCACAACCTCCCTAGTGAAGAAGAGGCCCTCCTGATGGACTCTTTGACCACGTTCTGGATCGTTTCGCATTGAAAACAATGTTTCTTCTAGGAGCTCTTCATAGCTCTTCATGTCCCAAAAACCTGGATCCCTCGAAACATGGAATCCCTCCAAACATCTCCAAACCTGGATCAACTCTTCTTGAAACGAAATCAAACCAAAAGGTGCAACCTCACGAAGCGTTACTCACAGAGAAAGAGACATATTGTCGTAGAAAATGGACGCGTTCTTTAAACAGTTGTTTCCTACCTATCTACCGCATAAAGAATAACTTTCTGTACTTTAACACATATAGAAATCTTGAAGCGCATGGTTCTTCCATTTTAGATATCATATCCGAAAAAGGGGCCCACAAATCCGAAGGCGCGTAGATTGCCAACAAATTCACCTGACCAGTTCAGTGTCCCAGTTGCTCCTGCCCTCTCCGGTCCAACTCTCGTGCGCTGGGCATGGGCGCGGGAAGCTCGAGGCTAAGCACTGGGAGCTCTCGCTGCACGGCCGTTGAGTTGCTCAGCTGCAGCTCTCCCATGAAGCCCTTGGTCCAATCCTGCAAACTGGAGATCTCAACATCGGTCCATCGGTAGGTTTTGAGCAACAAACCTCAACTTTTTGGCATGTTTCTTTTCTGTGATGTTCAGGGTGCACCACAACTTTATAACCCCAGGCATCAAACGAACATGGTAATTATATATATAATACAACAAGTTGGTAGGGAGGCTCAACCAACCAAGCGCACCGCACGCGAAGTCGGGACGCTGCCACTCTCAAGGCGGAACGCCTTTTCATGCCATAGCGAGCCGGTATGGCTCAAGTTGAATCCCGCCCACTTTGGGCCAAAAGGAAAACAAATGTGCTCAGTCAAATGTCTGCTCACATGTTTGCGGAGCGAACTTGACACAGGGGAAAAGTCGTTGACTGAGCTCTTTCATCTTACTGAAGACCATTCATGGCCTCCGGTTGTTCGCTGCAACCTTTCTGCACAAATCCGACAAAGGCTGTCGCGACTTTCAAAGGACTCTGCGCGCTGCAAAGCTGCGCAGTCACTGTATGAATGCCAGCGATCACCGCTTCTGGTGAACTTACATGTTGCCAGCATCAAATTATTTGCCCTTTTCTGGTAGTCGATCTGCTTCTTCCGAGCCGCTTCAAGCTCGTCTTGCAGCGCTTCAATCTTCTTTTCAAAATCCATTTTCTCTTCTTCGTGGTGTTCAGAAGCATATCTTCAAAGTTCTGGACCATCTGAACCTCTCTTCTCAAGCGAAGTTCGATCTCCTGGCGTCTCTGCCACTTGGCCTGCTAGGCCACTTCTCTTTCTTCAAGAAGCTTGTGCAAATGATCCTGCGTGGCTCGCAGCAGAATCACTTCAGCACTAGCTCTGGGGGCTGGTGCTCTTTCCTCTTCTTCTTTTGTTTCATTCACCACTTTATTCGGCTGGTTTGCATCTTCTGGTTCAGGCTCTTCTTGACTCGGGTTTCTCACCTTCTTGTTGATCCGACTCAGCACAAGATCACGTGCACTGTTGCAGATCACTGCGAAGCCAATGATGGCGGCAATGAAGGTGATAATCATGGCATAGTCAAACCAGGAACTTGCTTCATTTCTTCACTCATCGGCACACGTGCAGCTGCTTCCATCGCCACCACAGCGGCAATCCTCTCAGCAATGCGAGTGCCATTGTTGAAGCCGAAAGTCTCAGCTCTGGACTGTTCTCTGGACTTCTTGTCCTTCTTCTTGGATGCTCTGAACTTGGCATAGTCGTCCACTTCTCATCATGTCCACCGTGTCCTGTCTTGACGACGTTTTCGTCAGTCCATCAGCAAGCATCCGTTCTGAGCTCACCCATCTTAGCACTGTATTCTGTCGTGCCAGTTCTTCCTTGGCACACATGATTTCGATGCCTGCCCGTTTGTCTTGGGCACTTCCAACTCCTTCTTTCTTCAGGGCATCGTAGAGGCCTTTTGCACCGATCACGGCAGCTGATGTCGCAGAGGCTGCTGTCGCATGATCTTTTGGATCCAGTGCCGGGTTCTTCAACATGGCGATCATTGTCTTCAGCATCAGAAGCTCATCCAGGGCTGTTGAGAATGCTTGACTTTCTGCACTCAGGCTGCTTCGACAGACACGAGTCAGCTTGAAGGATCTCCAGCTGAGCACGGTGTAGGGAACCACCTCGCCCTGGAACTCTTGTCTGCTCGAACTTGTACTGCAGCATCTGAAAATGCCAGTAGCAGCAGGTCTTCCCAGCAGTCTGTCACAGGAGGAAATCGAACTGGTAGATCGGCTGCCGACTTGCCAAATCTCAAGGTCTTGTTGAGATCGTGGATCAGCTCGATGGTTGCCTTGTTGATGTTGGCTGCACCAATTGACGTGGATGCAGGATGCACAAATATGAGGACATCCTTGGCCAGCAGGCCACTGAAGAGCTCCAATCAGACCTCTTGCCTTTGAGACTTCTGAGGCATTCAGAAAATCATCCTTGCCTCTCCCTTTCTGGATGGTGATCGGCATCATCTTCTTCAAGTAGCTCTCGAAGTCGAGCTGCATGACCTTGTTCTTGATGCTGATGGTGCCACCACAGTATACTATGGCAGTTTCTTCGCTGAGCTCTTGCCATTTGCCAAAGTCAAAACTCTTCTTCAACTTTTCAATCACTCCCGTGGTCTCCTTGTCGTTCATGTTTGCACCAATCAGGAGGTCATCCACATGTAAGATGAGCATACTGGTGAGCTGACCACTCTTGGTGTGGTATGAATAGCAGCACTTGTCTAACTTGTGGCGATGTAGGTTGACTGCTCTTAGACGACGGTCTGCTTCTGTCCACCACAACAATGGTGCGTCGCACCTGGTTTTGTGCACCCTAGACACTGCTTCCCGCAAACAAACCTGGAAGATGTCTCTACATTCAAGGTGGCCTGCCGTCCTGGGTTTGTAGACACGAAAAACTGCTTCCAGGCCACCTCGCAAAGAACCCCTACCAGAAAGCCACGACGCAGAACTGGCGCATCATTGCCTTTTGCGCAGAAGCTTCCAACCTCAGAAGGAGCTTAGCTTTGTGACAGGCTGGACCTTGAGAGTGGGACATGTTCCACATGGCTCTTGATTCTTGCCTTGCGCAGCAGCGCATCTATTTTCTCACGCTCACGAGAGGTGAAAAAGCTGCCCAACTTTCCGGCGGCAGCCACCTCTAGAGCTCCACAAGCGACAGCCTCGGCGCTCCTTCGCAAAGTCATTGCCGGCCAGAGTGCATCGAAAAGCTGTTTCGGAGCCATGGAACTTTTCTCACATGTACAGCCTCAGCGCATCACATAGGCAAAGTGTGCGTCTTACCGGCCTCCAAAATCAACTGCTTCACAGAAAGCTAGCAAGTGCCCCCTGGAAACCAACTTCTTGTCCCTTCACGGCGAAGCACCATGCCCAAGTCATGTGCCCCACGGCCTGCAATGCCTCCTGCACAACGACCGCGTTCTCTGGCACTTCTGTCAACCACAGATACCCTTTGCCATCCGGAGCAAGCTTTCCACCTGGCACTCCAGGAGGGCAATCCTTGTAGCCATGGACTCCTGCAAGGCCCTGCTTGGTCAACATGTCTTTCAACGACGAGACTGTCTTCGTAGCTGCATCGACAACCAAGGATGTCAGGCTGAGCTTGTATGGGATGGACCTCTTCGGCGCTGCATCGTCCGCAGTTCTCTGCAGCTTTCCCTCCGTCATCATCCGAGGAATGGTGTGCTTTGGGAGCTTTTGGTTCGAAGTCCACTCCAAGCTGAGCTGCAAGACAGGTCCTCCTGGCTGGTTGACCGCATGGATCTTCACAGGCGGCTCCTCGAGACGCGATCTCGATCGCGTCTGAAGTCTTGGCTGAAGGTGGACACGGCTTTGGTGGAGTCTCCTCTGCAGGAGTGGTGACCTTCGGTGCCGGTGTTGGCAGCTCGGGCTTTGCTTCAGGTGAACAAGGCACAGGCTTCGCTGGTGGATCGGGCTTCGCCTTTGGAGCGGGCTTTGTTGGATCGGGATTCGCTGGCTTCTCGGGATCTGGCTTTACCTTAAAGGCTATACATCAAGGCAACGTAAAACTTTAAACTGTGGGGGGCCACATGGCGCCTATGTCAACTGGACCAAGCGGTTGATACACAGGAGCCCAAATAGTAAAGAAACCCAGTGCTTTATCAAGTGAGCTACTGTCATATAGTCCTGGGTGCGAGCACGCTTTGGTCAGAGAAGTTGTGGTATTGACCGTAGCTGGTGCAAACCTCCACCTTGGGCCCGACTCCACAGCCATTCTGGGTGCAAGCCACCAAATAGACACTTCCATGGTTTGGCCCCATGGATGTGTCCACCATCCACTTTGCGTTGGGCCGCCGGGGAGATGACCCAGTGTAATCGTTGATGTAGCGGCCTGCGGCCACGATCACAGCCCAAATCGTTGTCGGCTTGCCGTTCTGCAGGACACCAGTGATCTTCAAGACCTGCATGTGTACAGGTGTCCAAAACTGATTGAGGCTTCATGTCACTTGTTGACGCAAAAAAACTTCTACCGGTCTCCCCCATATTGCCTATTGAAAGCAAACGAATATGATCACTCTCCCCATTGTCAGCATCGGAGTCAGCATGCTCCTCATTCCCGGATCGTGTCAGTCGACTTCACACTCAAATTGTGCTCTTCCAGCTCATCTTGCAACCGGCGGACAATATGCTCTTCCAACGACTGCGGCACAGTGTCTACCTCAATCAAGCAGCAAATTTCGTTTAGGAGGCCGGCCCAGAACACCAAAGGCAAAAACCCGTTCCGGAGTGCGAATTTCGGTCCTTTGAGATTGATTGCACCTACCTCAAGGTTTTATTTTTGAGGTGGCCTGGATATGGTGCTTCAAGGACGCTAAACTAAGCACCGAGGCCAGCGCTGCGGCTGGGTGGGCAGGTGTCGTGAAAATTGCCACATGGATGATGCTGGGAACCTGCAAAATCTCCGTGAACACCCGCTGCACTTGCTCCAAATATTCATCGTTCACCTTCAGTCTTGAGGTCTGTGCGTCTATGAGAAACAACACATAGTGGCCCACCAGCACTTCGGCCACCAACTTCTGAGAAAGTTCTCGGGAGTAACTAAATCGATGAATGTGGTCAATCTCAGAGAGCGCATGCTGCCGTGCATCCCTGTCCATAGGATCAGGCTCTTCTTCAATGTCCAGGGAAGTCAGCACCGCCACACCTGTAGAAACATTTGTGGAGCCACTACCATCTGGAGTAGCACTCTTGGATGGAGCCGAGGCAGAAGCTTTGCTAGGGTCTTCGCCAGCTTTCCTAGAGGCAAACTCCTTGCTCAAATTGTGGCATTCCTGCACACATTCCATCTAGGCTTGAGCTACGTTCTAGAATGTGGGCTAAGGTGCCTGTAACAGTACCTACTTCGAGGTCCTATTTTTGAAGCCTGGATATGTCACCCTTTGAGCTTGCCGCTACACTCCCAGTAGAGGGAACAACTTACTAAACAAGTTGCATTTCAATCTGAGCTCCTGGATTCCAATGTGGTTATCACTGCTTCCTGCC